CAAGGTTTTGTCATCATCAGGTACCTGATGATGACAAAACCTTGTCCAAACGTTGTACATTTGCTGTTATGTTAAACTTATATTAAAGTTTTTCTTCATTACCCATTCAAGCCGTCTCTAACCATTATTAGTCTCAAAGTGGGTTCCTCGTCATCGAACAGTACACATTAAATGTGCTCAATCTAACCAAAATTTAACTTAGTACAATGCAGTTTCTTGAATATAACTATAAATTACAATGAGAAGATTTAAGTCAATGTTTAGACAAGTCAGAGAAATAAAACATGAAAAAATCAGAACTCCAGATAAGATTATTATCTATGTAAAGATATTTTTTCCATATAAAATGTATTACAAATAAAAATTGCAAATACCAACTACACATACTATTCTCTGCTACATATGTATATCATTCACGTATATTTGCATACTCACCAGTTCAAAAAGAGAGAATCTTGTGTTGGTAATAAAATAAATATAAAATATGAAAGATCATTTCTACCATAAACTGATTCACGAAGTATAGAGTGATTCGTAGGATCTGATTTAGTCCTTTGCATCAACTTCTACAAATATTTTGCATTCAACCACCACATGGAGGCCTAATGTATCTCTTTGGTTTCCTCTCCCAAGCAGCACTGAAGAGCCATGATTCCATGAAACTATAGTCTACTGCAGAGGGAGTAAAAATTGAATAACAGACTGTGTAGTTACATCATTCAAGTTCTAGTGAGAAGAAAAATTCACAAACGAGCAATACAGTGATTACTGGCTGGCAATAATCTGTTCCATTGAAAATTATACCAGTCTAATTTTACTGACTGACCTCAATAAAGCACTTCTTCAGCCTGCTGTTACTTTTTATCATTTATACAAGCTTTTTATTATTTTTCTGTGATCCAGATAAGTTGTAGACAAAATGAGTATTTTAACTCTCAAAATAAACTGAAATAGAAAACTCAATTTTGAAAAGTAGCAGATTTTAGGTTTCAATGAGTTTGGACATCCAACATATGATGTTTTGGCACTCCTTTGATGTACTTACTAGATGCTTGCTTCTCTTATTTTGGTATTATTCTCCAATTAAGGCAACTACAGCATAAATTCAATACAGTTAAAATAATAGGCTGACTATAATTAAAAACCTACAGAAAAAAATTATATCACACACTACTGCAATTTCAAATAGCTAAGTACAAAGTTATATATATTTTGTTCAGTGGCATTCACTGCCAAGTCTTGAATCACTTGATTTGAACAGTGGAATTTGACCAGCAATTACTCCATGGATCTTTGGATCTACAGTCTGGCACACTAACCATTAGTCCAGATTTGGCCAACTTTTAAAATGAAACATATTGATTTATTTTAAGAAGCTTGTGAGGTCCAGAATTCTAAAGTCAGAATACTAAATGTTTTCTTCTATTTTTCAAATCTAATTGTCCCTTTGTTAAGTTTAATTACTTTTTCATGGCTAAGCTGTAGTTTTTTAAAATATTTGATGTTCTGAAGCTTAATAATATTGTAATATAAGTATGACTTAGATATGGATTTCTAGCCAACTACTACTGATAGTTTTACAAATTAGTAATGAAACATACTTTTTCAGGTGTTACGTATAGTAACTTGATACCTGGCTCTCTCATTGTCAGTTGCCTGTAGATATTAGCTGCTGTGCTATTGCTCATCTCACCAGATAAGTGATTGGCAGGGACCTACATAGGAAAGAAAATAATGCAAAAGCATACACACACACACACATACATATATTGTATACAATATATTTTTAACACATCTTTACTGAGGTAGACTAGACTTACCTAACAATATGCAGATCCTATGTTTGCAAAGACCTCAATTACCTCAACACATTTCTACATCTCTATTTTCTAGCCTGTGCCATGGTTTTATGTATATGCCACATGTGTGACACCCATTGTTCACAGCTGGTCCTTGTTTATCTTAAATTTATATATATATATATGTACGTATGTATATATTGTACTAATAATAAACATACAATTAGAAAGTGAGAACTTAACATCGTTATACAAGTATATTAGTAATCAATTCATTTTTGGCAAATGTAATTTAATCATAAAGGACAACATGAGTATGATTATATGAAGCATTTAATAAATATTTCAGATCTTTAGAATTCCATCTTCAGTAAGCTAAAGAAACAAAAATACAAAATGTGATATACTCTATAACAAATGGCAATAAACAATTTGAATATAAAAAATTACAGGAGAAAATGAACAAGTACAAATAGCATAAAAGTAATATACAAGATATGCAAACTGAATAAAGTAAATAAAATAAAAAAGGATTCTACATGGTTGGGAACATTATTCTTTTCATTTTTTATTTATTATAATTACTTTTCATATCTCATTTACTACTCTGCAATATGTATTCTGAAATCTTTAAGTTAACATGTGGTTGGATTGTTTATTCTTCCTTTGATTTTATTAGTGAGCAATTTCTTCCCATAACTAGCTGCAGACAGTGAATTTGTAATTAGGCTCAGAATATTATTAGTTCAAACACCTGAACCAGACCCCCTAATAACTAAATTTGTTCATCTGTTGTTGCACAGTGTTGGACATACAAGATTGTTTAGTGTAAGAGCTGTTATTTAGTTCATTCAGTGATCTAATATTTAATGATTATTTAGTTTTCATAGCAAGAGTGTGTATAGTTCAATTGTTGTAGTATTGTTGATGTCATCATTCTTGAAACCTAAAAATTTTTCTTTTTATGCAAGTATTGTTACATCATAGTGTCTTGTAGTTTGTAGAAAGTCTGAGGCCTCAGTTGGACAATATATTAAGATAGCCGACCAAGCAAGCGCAATAAAAGTGAAGTTCAGTCAGAAAAAGAGAAAATGTGAAGCTAGCTGGCATGCAAGTGATCAGCCTTAATGGATAATTTCTATAGTGTGTTTCACAGCTGTATTGTAACAACAGAGATAGGAAAAATAATTTGTCTTGTCCACTTGGTTCTAAGGTAACCTGTGTAGACTTTTGATGAAAAAAAAAAAGAGAATTATTTAAAGCTATGGATAGATCTGCGGTAACCAACAATTTAAGTGAAATTAAGTCAGAAAAAGTTAAGTATAGTTAGACTGCATGATTGTTAGTTTAGCAGTAACAGGCAATATTTAAAGTAAGTTTCACAGTTAACAGAGATAAGGAGAAATAACTAGTCTAGTCAAAGGGTGTTCTAAAGTAATTGAGCCCACCTGTGTGGACTTTGATGAAAAAGAGACAATTATTAAAGTTCTGAATACAACTGTGGTAACCCACAGGGTAGCATAAGAGAATTTATCACTTATTATATTGTGATAACAAAAGAAAAAGAGAATTATTTAGAGTTTTAGATACAACTATGATATCCTGTAGTGGAAAGAATTTTTGTAAATATGTTTGACTTGTTTCAAATATATATTATTTTAAAACAAGTGGATTGTGTGCTGTTTGTTTATTGTTCGATTTTATTGCCAACAATTCACAGACACCTACTGTAAAAGAATCCCAGCCCCTATGCATATAAAACCTGATACACAGCAGATTCTTACTTGTCTTGGTTTATAACTGAAGAAACAGACTAGCTCAAATGCCTTTTGAATGCTAGTATGCAGTTATATATGCCTTATTACTTTATAGATTTTTTAAGACTTATTTTCCATGTTTTGGTTACATTTTAAGATATATAAATATATATATATAATTTCTTATTTATTCATATGGATTGCTTTACCATTTTGCTTGGTATTGATTATATACTCTTCCTACAGCATGGTTAAAGACCTTCAATATCTCTTTTAGGATTCCATGGACCTCTAACACATCTTTAGTGGTTTCTTGTATTATGTTACTTAAACCTTAATTTTTGAGCCAATTAGATACTTAGGTACACTACACATTATATGTGCTAACACTAACCAAAATTGAACTTTGCACAATGCAGCTCCTTGAATATGACTATAAACTACAGTGAGAAGTTCTAAATCAAAGTTTAGAATGGTCTGAGAAAATAATAAAGAAACTGGTGTAAATAATGAAAAAATACTGCAGTATAAGTTAAATTTAATAGGCTGAGCATAATGAAAAAAACATCACACTCTTGGAATTTAAAATAGCTATATACAATGATAGTTTTTTTTTCAGAAACCATTTGGCTTTTGTTATACACAGGTATTTGAAATGCAGCATTTCCCAAATTACTCTTACCAAAGAAATAGGGTTATATAATATATATATATATGGGAACAAGATTTTTAATAGGCATTAATGTCCTAGCTCAAGTAAGTTTACAAGAAAGTATAAAGAACACACTTTTACAGGTTTCTATAATCAGCTTGGTAATATCCAAGAGTAAATTAATCAGTACTTACATCAAGAGAACATAACTTCTGCACTTGGTCTTGAATAAGGGATCGTAATGGAGATACAACAATAGTCACTCCAGAAGTTACAATTGCAGGTAGTTGATAACACAAACTTTTCCCTCCACCTGTATAAAGTTAATATGATCCTTGTTAAAAGACTTACAAAATTAAAGAAGCCTATTGTAAAAAGTATGGGCAGAAATTTGCACATGGAATCCAAAGTCACAAATAGCAAGAGTTAATGAATTCACTTCATGAATTTTTACTGTATGATCCTATTGAAGATATGTTTTCTATTTACTTCAGTCTGTTACTCAGTATATATTAGATTCAATGACAGTGATATGAGTATTTCTGTTAAACCAATAAAATTGTTAGAGTGGGGAACTTCAAATATATCTTTTACCCATACCCACATAAATTTACAGTTCGAAAGCATTTCTTTCAATAAAGTGTTACCAAATGGAAATTGTTTCAACATCTATTTAGTCTTTACAATGAAAATGTTGGAAAGAAAATTGGGCTTTTCTGTTCTTAAGCTGTGAAATATTCAGTGGCCATGTGTAGTTTCAGTGGAACTTTAGGTAGGGAAGACACAGTATAATTGAAAACTTCAAAGGACTGACAATTCCTGTTGAAAAAACTGCAACAAAGTTTTTACTACTATATTGAAGTCTTGCAAACCAGTTGGGCATTATTAATCTTATACTGCATTTAAAAAAACTGCACAAATAAGTAAAGTGTTTCTATAGTTTTTCTATTTCTGCTTCCAATTTTCTTATTCTCATTTGCTAGTGACTGTCTGTTATTTCTCAAACTTGCTTTAGTTTACCTATTCTTGCTTGTTGATCTGTGTACTAGATCACAAACTTATTTTGGATTAGTTCACAAAGTAGCTTAAGTCTTTTTATTCTAGCTTGTTGATGACTCAGTAGTAGATTCACAAAGTTGCTTTCATTGTTCTATTTTTACCTTCTTGGCAACTGGAGCTGGGTAATTAACACTTGAGGAGTGGTGTCAGTTCATTGGACTGAGATAGTTTCTATGAAGTACTATTCAGATTCAATAGTCATATGTTGTTTGAGAGTAACTTTAGGTAGAGTAAACATAGTAGGTTTGAAAACTTTAATTAACTTCAATTGCCTGTTGGAAGAGAAAGAGACAAAATTTTGGCTTCCATATTGAGGCCTTCTTCACATTTCTTGCATACCAGTTGGACAAAATTAATCTTATACTTCATTTTAAAAAACTGCACACACACACACACAAGTAAAGTGTTGCTATAGTTTTTCTATTTGTGCTTCTAGTTTTCTTATTTTGATTTGATGGTGTCTGTGTTCTAGTTCACAGAGTTGTTATGGTTTAGTTGTAATATTCTTGCTTGTTGCCGATTGTGTACTGTTTCCCACAGAGCTAAGTAAACACCAAATAATTGTGAAGTGTCTTCTCACATAAAAAAGTTTTGCAGGTACCAGATTAGAGTGCCCCAAAAAAGTATAATTCGGGGGAAAAAAGTGTGATTTATTTTGCAACACCCCTTATAATGATCATGCATCTAAAAGCTTTGGTCAAATGAATAACATAGGTGCCAAAATTAAACAATCAGTAAATTAGCTTCTTGTAAACAAGATTCTGTTCAGGATGGAACAAAAAAAAAATCAATGAAATATCAAAAAAAAAATTGGATTTTATAAACTCTGAATAAGATTTTTTGTGTGTTTATTTAAATGAGAGATCCTCATGTTAAAAATATTTATTTTCTCTTTAAACCATTTTATTATATAAGTTCAATGCTTTTAAAAGAAATTCAACTTCAGCTGCCTTCTCAGTTTCCCATCTGTTCCGTACTTCTGACTGAACTATTCCAAATGCAGAAAAAAGCCATTCCAATCCTGCTGTTGAGGCAGACACAATCAAGTGCTGGCAAACAACACTAAGTAGTAATGGAATGAATTAATTTTCCATGCTTCAACAGTGTTTGCAATAGTATTTTGATCATGTTAAATCCTATCTAAGACAATAGAGGTGGGCTCACGTCTATTTAGTGGATCTTTATAGTTTTGTTTGAGGCCCATATTCATGACCAGAAGTTAACATTTTACAACATCGAAAAATGTATTTCTGATAGATTCTTACTTCCTCTCACATAATAGCTTTTCTCGATTTGTACCTCCCTCTGTCCACACAAATTTTCAATTGCCATTAGCCTTGATACTCCTACCTACCCTCACATGTTACGTGATAGCATGGCAAATGAGCATGTGACAACCCTCCACCAATCAAAGTGTGACACAACTCCTAGCACTGCCAACTCCTTCTATGCAGCTTAGCTCAACTTCACTTACAGATTGAGCAACACGAAATAAAAGATACTTAAAGTGGGGAGGAAGGGTGGGAAGTGCGAGAAAAGATAAGAATCTATCAGAAATACATTTTCATTGTCGGAAAATGTTAACTTTCAATGCAATATCTTACCTCTTCTCATGTTATAGCTAGAATCTCACATTGACCTGGTAAAGGGGCTGGTGTAACATTACTTAAATGTACGTCCTTCAGAAAGAGCCCAAAGAAAACAAATAAGGTGTTGGAATAAAGAGTATATAAAATACACCTGTGGGAACTACACCATTTCTGAACCAGGTATACTCTTTGCCCCTGAAAATGATGTGTCCCAATAAGGGCAGAATCACAGGAAGAACCCAAAATTATATGAATGGACACCTAGAATAGGGTGGCTAGGTGTGACAGACTGTAAGGGGGAGTTTGACCTCAGTTAACACCAACAGTAGTATGATAAGAATACCTTTTGCCTCGGACACGTGAACTGGAATGGAAGAAGATTTTCCATTCCAAGGACCTGCATCATCATGTCCAACACCAAGAAACTGACATCTGGAAGGCAGACAGTAATGTGGTAGTTCAACTCCAGTCCAGAACCAAGCAGCATTGGGAATGAATCGTCCAGTCCACAGTAGGAGGAAGGTACCTGGCTACTCACATGTGAGGATTTAACGTGGCTGGTCTAGCTCTAACCAATATCAGTACCCCTGGGAACTGACATCCAGACAATAGTAGGAAAGAGGGTGCCCAGCCAGAGGGGTGAGCTGCAATGTGGCAGAAATCATCCAGTCCATAACCATGCAAAATCTGGAATAGAATATCAAGTCCATGGTAGGAAGAGTGTCCATAGACCATCTACACTGGCAGAACACCATTGCCCTACTCTCAACTGAGTGGAATTGAGCACACTCAGGAAGAATCTTCCATAGTCTACCACCCCAGTAGCTGGAAGCTGCGAAGTGGTAAGGACTCCCACACGCCACTGAAAGAATGTATGTGGGGAGGAAAGCATTGGAGAGTCTGGAAGAATGCAACACTGGAGACAGTGCAATGGGTGACAATGAAAGTTTATATTGAAAAGCAGACCGTTCCTGTTATAGCCAAACCAAGGAGTGGCAGGGACAGGAAGCAATCCCCTTCTGCTTTACTCATGTTTGTTAATGAGTGTATGGTCCAGGACTAACATATTTATGACACAAAACACCGCAGAACACCCCAGTGGTGGGCATTATTGACCTGAATGGTCAAACAGTGCAGATTTAAGAATAAGTATACTTGGTCATGTAACGCCACTGATCGGGCTCTCAACGCTTCATAGAAATACTTATAGGATTGCCTGTGGTTGCTCGCATCTCCAAAGACAGATTCTCTGGGGTCTGTGGGGGAGATGAGGTAACCAGTCTTTCCAAGGTGCATCTGCTCCTGTCAGTCAGTAATTTATGCCTACCTGGTCATTTCTTAGATTCATTGTCACTTGTGGACTTACATTTCTTCAGCATGTTATCAATTGTTGACCTGGGAATGTTTAATTGTTGCACAATAGCAACTATCCTTTTCCTCTGAAACTCTGTTAAATCTTTCCATGTATTCATCGTTCGGAGTACAAGTTCGAAATCACTTTTGAGCAAACTGCTGATCACCTTTATAGGCCAAACTATTTGCATATTTTATCATCACACCCATTTTCCAGCATTCAGAGGTGTGTCCCATGACTTTTGGTAGGATAGTGTATATTTGTTGTCAGAGTTATCAACTACTCATTTTACCCTACATTGCTGATTTAGCAAAATTCATGGCAGAGGAGAGTAAGTACCTGATACATTATACAGGGGTACTGAAAAACTGTCAATATGCATTTCAGACATTCTAGAGGTTATGCAAATATGATATACCAACTATACAAGAGACAAAAATACTTCTACTCTTCACGAGAACATCACCATGCACTTTGATTTGTCAGAGGCAGACTGACATTTTCCATTCACAGAGTACAAATACATTTATAACAAATCTGATTTTATTGAGTTAAAAAGACTTTTACATTTTAGTGAAAGCTTGCTATGTTTCATGTAGACACACATATATACTACTCACCAAAGCCTAGTTGGTTAATAGATATTTTTGCTGGTATTGACTTATGCAAATAATGTACAAGCTGTTAGAAACCAATTAACTGGAACTGAAGTTTGCAGAGCCATCACACTGCATCAGGAGGGCTGCACCCAGACTGAGGTGGCACAGATCATGGGAGTGTCATAATATGTGGTCAGTAGATTGTGGCACAGATACTAGCTACAGGATAATATACCAGGAGGCCAGGCCAGGGTTGCAGAAGGGTACATATGCAACAGATGACCAATATCTGTGGAATTTAGCCCTTAGAAACTGCACCAGCAGACTCAGCAACATGCTTTAGCAAGCCACTGGAGTGCATATATGGTGTTCAATAGTCACTAACAAGTTCCATGAGATTGGACTGAGGTCCAGGATACTAGTTAGAACCTCTAAGAAACCAAACAGCCCAGCTGCCATTTTCCCATGAACATATCACCTGGTCTATTCAGCAATGGACCCTTGTAATGTTTACCAATGACAGCAGATGCTGTGTATCTTCAAGTGATGAATGTGTGAAGGTATGTCTGGAGACATGAAGAAGAGCAAAATTTGGCCTGTAACACTGTTCACCATCATGCCTTGAAGGTGGCTCAATCATGATCTGGGGTAGCATCTGCATACAGTGGTGTACAGACCTCTATGCGGTGAATGGAGGACCGTTGCTATCCATTATTCAGCCTTTTACTGGTGCTGTCAGAGATGCATTTGTGTATAAGCAGGATAAAGACCATCCTCACACTTCCAGGATCATGCAGCAATTTTTTCAGGATAAAAGAATAAAGGTACTGGACTGGCAACTAAGTTACCAGATGTAAATCTGAGCAATTTTGGGACTTGCTAGGGAGAACAGTTACAGATAGAAAACTTGCTTCTATTATTGTTCAGAAGCTCCGAGCTGTCCTCATCCAAAATTTTATCAGCAGTATGGGGAACAGGTGCATAGAAGCCAAACAACAGAAAAGGACTTACTAGCTACTAAAAGACTCGTTCTGTTAAGTTTGTTCATCATACTAACTTATTTTTTTCTTTGATATTTGTGCAGCTAAATATTGACATTTTTTTGTTAATTTTTGCTTTTTATTTGTAAATAAATTTTTGGGTTACTTGGTATCTTTTAACTATGATAAACAAGTTTCTTTTATTTTTTTAATTCAACTTTTGGAAAAGCATATCAAAACCTCATTATCCTTTAATTTTTGTGAGTTGTGTAGTAAAATCAGAATTACAGTCAACAATCCTTCTCCAATACAAGGTCAATCCATTGACCAGACCCTGTATGTTCAGTTACTAGCAATGTCTAGTAATAAATCCCAGTTTGCACTGAACAAAGTTGTGAATAATATTTTGATAACCCTCCAGGTGCTTACAATGATCATGTGCAAGTATGCAAAAAGAATTTTTAAACACATGTGAAATATTTATTTTAGTGAATTGATATCTCTAGCTTGTATATTAAGGGGAGTATGCAAAACAGTGACTTTAATACCTACATATTCGGTTAGGCTCTAATGAAACATTTTATAATTTTATACCCTTAACTGATTCCACATTACATAAAAATTACTTATTCTGAGACATTTACCTGTGGGCATGAGTACAAAGCAATCTTCACCTAGCAAAGCTGCATTGATAGCTTCTAACTGGTTGTGACGGAACTTCTGCAAGCCAAAAATGTTATGAAACACAGAGAGCAGTTCTTGGGAATGGGGAAAGTTTGTTCCTTTAAACTGAATGGAAGCACCATCATCTCTTTGATTGCCATAAAAATGACCTGTAAAATCTGCAAGTATACAAAGTAAGCATAAGAAGCATTGTATAATGTTATGCAGTAACAAACACTTAAGCAAATTAATTATTTGTAACATTTCAAATTTGAATGTAAACTGTTTTGGCATTATCATTTCTTCATGGCCATGTAATTTCAATATAGGTTTGACATTTTGAAATTATAGAAGTCTGTCATATGGAGATCGATATTTGAAGAAGTTGATAAATTTTATAATAATAAGTAAACAGTGCTGATGATTTCTAAATGATAATTATTGAATAGAAATTACTCTTTATAAACTGATAGATTAAAAAACACTTCACTGTGTTTAAAATTTTCTAAAATAAAAGATCTATCTTTTAGTAGCTTTACATGTTTGTGCAACTAGAATTAGGCTTAGTACAACATTATATTGTTCTTTCGGAGATTATCCACTTATATTAAAATTAAAACTGAATTCATAATCATGTCAAATTCAGAAATATGTTTGCATATTTTTTCAAATGTTGTCACTTCTACATAAAACCATTTCTTTCTTGAAAACTTCTATAAAAGCTGTCAACCTTCTAGGTCTAGTAAAATTCCCACTACCTGACAACCACCTCCTGCATAGTTTGTGAAAATGCATGAGTATTTATGTGATAAATGTTTACAATCTGCTATGTTTTCCACTACAAGGATGGCTTCTTATTGGGGATTTTAATTGATAAATACTTCAGTATTCAGCTTACTATAAAACAACCACTACTAGTGGGGACAAAAAAATAAAAACAGTACAAAATCAGATATTAAATTTCATTAGTTTGAAAAGACTGAACATATTTTCACTTAACCAATAATTTTATATACTATTCTGTGAATGTAATTTATATAACAGCTAATTTTTATGAACTGAGAACTGCTAATTGTATTTATAAGGCCTTTTTTTAAAACTAAAATTATTGGGCATAAAAACAATACACTAAATATACATTAAAGAATTACTAAATGACTATATATGTATATATATATGTTTTAAGGTCACATTTCATATCTAATGTTTTTTTATCATGTTTTAAAAATAACAATAATGAAATATAAATGTAAATGTATAATCATTAGTACAAATACTTTTTTTGTTTCAAGTATTTCTAATTACAGCACAAAAGTGTATTCAAAGTTCCTTCATTTTTTCAAACTTCATAATGCTACAGACTGAAAAATAATTGTCAATGTAAAATAAAAACAAAATTACTGTCTAAAACGTACTTGATATATTGCTTGGGGTTTGCTTTGATGTGCTTGGAGTATTTTTATCATACACAACAGATTTGTAGTCAACCACTTTTGCATAATCTCCTTTCAAAGACACATAAACAACTGTATAAGTCCATAACATGATAAAGCTTTAACTGCAAAATGGAACATTATGATAAAACCACTAAAATATTTTTGCTCTACATTCTTAGCTAGTTCAAAACAGCCTTTCAGTACAGTAGTAATTATTGAATTTCATCTACAATTTACAAGAACTAAATTTCCATATAATTTTTTGTGATATTTATTAAATACAAGTAACCTAATATCCAACTGTCAACATAAAACTCCTTTAAGTTTATACATGAAAAATAAACACAGCCTGTTACATAGGCTTAACAGATTTTTCTGCAAAAATTAAAAAACTTAATTAAGTCTCTAAAGTGAACATAAAAAAACAAAAAGTTTAGCTCAGTACATAACATTCAGTTATTTCACTAAAAATGTTTATTTGAAATAACAAATGATGTGTGGTATTTTCACAATAACTAATGATACTATTAATATGAAATGACACAAACAAAAACAAACACTAAACTGAACAAGAAAATAATGAAATTTGTCATACAGATTGAAATGGCTAGGCAATATAAATACATTTATTCACTCAAAGCACAATTCAATATTAACATTTGGAAGAGGAGAAACTGGAAACTAGAAATAAACACCTATTAAATTTAAACCATAAAGCTAGTCCACTGAAGTTATCCTAACACAGTCAAAAGCAAAGATTTCTCAATGCCTTCTCAAACAAAAACAAGGGTATCCAAAGAAAAAATACTGAAGAGTTAACCGATATTGTGCATTTTTTTAAACAAAAAATTAAGAAGTTAAAGTCGGCAAATTAGTATTAGTGATGAGAAGTAACATTAGGTGTTAGTTACACACTTGTGTACGTTAGCTGTAAAAAGTGCATGCAGATGCAAGAAACAATTCTGAAGACTCTCTTTGATGAATTATGGGAAGGGTCTGAACTTGTTTATTTTCTTTTATAAACTTATGATTTAAATACCCTATTATCCATATCATTAAAAAGCACTTCTGATAAGAGTTAGCACACAGGATCACACAAAAAAGATGCAATGAATTTCCAAAACAAAAAATACCCCAAACTCAAGACCTTTTGAATAGTTGAATATTCTTTTTCAGGAGAACAGTCAACTATTCATAAGCTATCGAGCTTTGGATCCTTTTTTTTTGGAAATTCATTTTTATAAACTTACTATATCAGGGCACTATGCAAAATTTTTAAATCACTTATTCAAGATGGATTATGAAATTTAAAATCCCTGACCATTAGTTACTTGTCTTGACCCTTAAAAAAGTTACCTCTTTTTTCAAGTTACTTACCCAAGATAAGTAGGACCTCAAAATTTAAATGCTCTCATAAGTTCCAAAAACACATGGTTGCCTAGTGCTATTTTACATTGAAGAAATCCCCAACAATGTCATATTTTTAAAAGTAATATAGTTTTGTTTTAATACATATTGAAAATAAGATTTAGTAGGTTAAAAACATTTTTCTTTACTGTCCCAACAACAAGCACAAGGCAAATTACTTGCTGTTTGCAAATGCAAACAAAACTAATTATCCACTGTATTTTCTTAAAATTTTATACTTGGGAAACTGTGTTGTGAGTAGAGATGGGCAATTTAATTGATTACCTATTGGCAGTAATTACACTGATCAGTGTCACATGAACTAGTCAATTAATCAAGATTATGATTAAGTTGATTAGTGCTATGAATATAATCAACTGACTGAAATTAGTGTTCTTGATTATTTCAACATTCAATTTACTGAAATTATGATTAATTTGATTCTCATGAAAATAACCATGTAACTGAAATCAGGGCTTCTGATTATTACTATTTTTGATTATTCCAATTATCCAAGTAATTGAAATATTGCCATTATTTTTCTTGTTAGGCATAAAGCTTTGCCCATTGTGGGTATCAAAAGTCAATTTTTATATGAAAAATTATTTTTATTTCAAGTTTGTTCATTTTTTGGTTAGCCTGGCTTCATGATTTAAGGGTCTTAGTCTTATTCCCATTTCCACTAATCTTGCTCACCTCGTTTTTGTTATGGCAAAGCTACTGTTAGATATACAAGACTGTTTCAGTTTAATGCGAGAATTATGATTTAAATAATTTATATAGCACAGGTGTCACATATATATTTATTTTTAGAAACAATATTTTATGGTAAGTTTGCTTACATAACTGTTTACGTATCATGTTGCTAGAACTTTTTGAGTTTTCTGTTATTTTAATTGAGTATCATTACATCTAAATATCTCGTACTGCATGGAATTTTCTAGATTTCTAAAAAAATCATTATTTAGTTATAAGTCTAGTCTGCGTGATCAGGAGTTTAGCAATAAAAATTGTGTAGTGACAATTCTTAAAGTGAAATTATCACAGAGTGTATTGTAATAACAGAGTTGAGAAGAATAGTTTTTATCAATTGTGTTTTAAATTAACTGAAACAACCGGGGCGTACTTTGATGAAAAAGAAAATTATTTAAAGCTCCAATTACAACTGTGGTAACCAACAGTGTAATGAACATTTGTATATATGTTTGATTTGTTATTAATACATTATTTTTAAAATAAGCAAACTGAGTTACTGGTTCTTTATAGTTAAAATTTATCACCAACAAGCCACAGACACCTACTGTAAATAATCCAGCATTACAAATCCTGACATTTACTAAGGCTATCTGCCACAGTCACAAATTTTGAACTGCTTTCTAAAGGGAAGGCAACCGGCTGGCAATACTCTCACAAACTCTTGGTCTATTTAGGTGTTAAATAAAGTGTAAATTTACTGTTTTTTATAATGTGCCATGTTTTTAACTTATAACTGTTATTTAATGTTGTATAGGCAAGCTAGGAAAATGATCCAAAGGGTTCGGACCTCACCCCATTTAAAAAAAAATTAATACAATTTTAAAAAATAATTTTCTTTTTTAAAGGAACCTATAGCCCCTTGGTGCCACATCAAATAATTTGATCATCTACTAATGAAACACAACTTTAAAAACAGCTGAAATGAGACTACTATGTCATAGTAAATATACAGATGTAAAAGTTTCTTTACAGTTTCTATAACTGTTCTTTTCATTTGTGAATTATGAAAGTGTTTTGTGTGTTAAATTATACTTGTTTGAAAGCTATAGAAATTTTCTTGAATAAAAAGATACAGTAACAAATCCACAACATTTGAAGAAGGTTTTGTTATTGTCATGTGCAAGTAGTTTACCTAAACAGTAGACACTGGAATAGATATACAGTACCAAACAAATAACTCCCATGACTAGAGTGTGTGTGTGTTTTCTTGTAGCAAAGCCACATCGGGCTATCTGCTGTGTCAATCGAGGGAAATCAAGTATTGATTTTAGCAATATAAATCCAAAGGCTTACCACTGTCCCACCAGGGGACTTCATGACTAGAGATAGCTTAAGGTTTAGTAAAGGTATCTTTTTGATTTTTGTTTCCTTTAAAAGTAAGGTAGATATACTGTTGTTTTATTGAGTTGCTATGTTTATAAACATGAGGGTTTTTTATTAATATGTTCACCAATTCAAATTAAATCATCATCAAATACATAAGCTTAATGAGTATAGTATGCAACAGCAAAATATTCTGATCACTCAAATCCTTGTTTATTGAGTATTAATTTTATATTTATCCTCTTCAAACAACATATATAAATAAATTGGCTAAATGGCTACTAAATTATTTCTACTTTCAATCATGACATGTTTTGAACAAAAACATTAGCACCCTTATCAGTGATAGTAAAACATATTTTCATTATTTATTTATCGATTTATTTGATTTACACAATACCAGTGAGAGGTATAACATATTTTAAAAACAAACAAAATGGCAACCACATGGGAAATGTCCAAATTATTTTGAAAAAGAAAAAAAAACATTTTGCTACATATTATTTTAGCCAAAGATATGTTTTTTTGCAAAACACAATTGGCATCTCCAGATGATGTCTATCATATGAAAGGAAGTGTAATTAAAACATTACCTTAAAAAAACAACATTAGTGAAATAGGATGTTTAATATAATGTTAGAATAACGCAGTGGTTCTCAAACTTATGAAGCTGGCATATTTCCTTTATTTGTTTCAATAATGACCAAGGTACAAACATCATGTTGTCAAGAATACTGTAATAATCAATTAATTGAGTTTACTTAATTAATAGATAAGTAAATATCACTAATTATCCAGCTCTAGTTGTGAGTACTTAACACTGACCTTCCTTTGCATAACAGCAAACTAATTTATTGCATTCTACTAAGAGTAGACTGTCAATTTCCTTTCAGGAACTTGTTATAATTTATGGTCCTTCCAGTTGGAACTTAACACCAATTGGTCAGATGAACCACATGCTATTTCAGCTACGTTACCAGTGGTGGTACAGTGATATATTTGCACATTAAAAGAAAAAAGTGAACATATATTACAAAATTCTTTTACTTTAGTTTACCTCTCACTATGAATATTGAAGCAGTAAGATATATTACATCTATTGTCCAGCATAAACACAATCTACTGTCCTGGGCATTGGGCAATGTAATTTTAAAAGTCCTGCTTTTTTCTTTGAAATTCTTTACAATGTTTGTTTCTGACAAGAAAAAGAAATCTTGCAAAAATTACCTTTATTAATAAATAGATTGATCATCAGACAATTAATTTATCCAGTTGGGCCAGAAAAGCATTATTGACTTGTACAAAAGAAATTTATCACTTCTGACCAAAATGTGCTAATGTAAAGCCTTGTAAATACAAGTATATTATTTAAAAATTCTCTATGCAGCAAGTTTACACATGATTGACTCTTCTACTTAAATATGATAAATGAGAAAGAAAACAGTCAATATATTGTATATTTGTATTGTAGTAAAGGACTGTACCATTTGTTATCTCCCCTTAGGTAATATGCAAGTTTTGTCAAAATTTCTATAATTTCTTTCAGTTCAGTTTTGATGCAGGGAGTCACTCAAGTAATTCAC